TTTTTCCTTCCCCCTCTCAAGCCAGCCACAGCCTCCCACCACCCCCCCAGCGCCTCTGCCAGAGCATCCTTCGTGTCACCGCACACCCCCGCCTCGGCCCGCATCCCAGGCACGTCTGTCGGGAACCACAGCCCCCAGACTCTGCCATCACCTCACCCACCCAGGTGCTGCCAAAACGCTCTGGCTGCCCTCTTTAGTGATTTGAATCCCAGCCTTCAGCTTGGATGTGCCCCAGGTTTCTCAGGCTGCCCATGGGGTGCAACCCCGAGCACGGGCAGCGGGCTGAGTGCTGCCGGCACGTCCCGCTCCCCAGCCCTGCCCAGGCTGCTGCGGCATCACCACGCCACCGCACATCCCTCCGTGATGGAAAACCGTGGATTTCCCATGTCCCCGGTGGGCGAGTCCCCGTGCCCGCTGCATGGATTCATTTCTCCCTTCCCTGCGTGCGAGCTGGGACCTACCGGGGAATGTGATCCTCTGCTCCCGATTGTTCCCCGCAGCAGGGGACAATAGTGATTTTGAGGCATTGTTCGGGTAGGGAATGAATCACCCTTTGTCTGGCAGGGGAAGGTCTCTGCGCCGCCCGGCCCCTCGCTGCTGGACCCGCTTTTGTGCGATAAACTCTTTTCAATGCTCCAGCCCGTCTCCGGCAAAGCTCAACCCACCCTTCGCCGCCCGTCCTGCCTTTGGCATCCGAAGGTGCCTGCCCGCAGGACGGCAGCGCGACGTGCTAATTCCGCTTGGATGGAGATGGGGAGAGAGTGCTGGTGGTATAGAGATCACCGGGAACGGAGTAACCTCCTCTTAAAAATAGCTACTCCGATACTACAGCTTTCGGAAACAAATCAAACACTTCAGAAATCTGTCCAGCACAGGAAGGCCTTCGTTAGCAGAGGGAGCCGAGCTCCCCAGCGTGGCATTGCCCCAGCAGCACCCAGGACGTCTCAGCCCGTCCCAGGGAAGCAGGACAGCAGACGTGGCTGGCCCTGGCCCAGCCATGGTCCCTCTCGCTGCAAGGACACAAACCTGGGGCAGAAGCAGGTCCTGAGGGCCGGGACACGGCTGCAAGGGCTGGGACGGAAAGGGAACCCCCTCCCCAGGCTTTGCATCGCACTGGCTACCTCAGCCGCTGGCTTGTAACCCCTCTCTGTCTCAAGTCACCCCAATTCACGCCCGGTGCTCACCCCTGGCTGAGCTGGGCGAGGCGGCATGGGGCTGCTCTCCCCCCGCCCCGGCACCCCCAGCCCGCCCAGCGCAGC